CTCTTTGTTCGTTTCAAGCCACACACACAAAGCGCCGCGACCTCAGCTTTCCCTCGTTTTCCAGCACCTTACTTTTTCTTTTCTTTTCTTTTGTTTGTTAAAAGTTATCAGACCGTTAAGTTACACCAGTTTAATTCAAGAACGACCGCGTTTTTAAGCTTTATTCGTCTTAACTTACACTGCTCCCACCGAAGCCCCGGACCCAGCCACATGGGCCCGCCTTGCCAGCAGTAACCCAAAGGATATCCTCACTGCCAGACCGAGGACGGTCGCCACTGGAGTGTTTTTCTAAATTCAGACACGGAGAACCCCCGGAAAATTCCCTAGCAGAAAGCCAGGAATCGGGCAGATAGCGTGGGGACCCGTGCAAAAGGCCAAGGCAGGCTGACGACCGGCAAAACAAGGCATTCTGTGATCAGTGATGTCCAATAGTCTGTTAATCCAGTATCTTTAATCCTTGAAACTCCTAGACAAACCGAGTTATCATCTAATTGCGTTCATTAGCTGCCCGTGTGAGTCAAATTCTCCCCACAATAGAACTCTACATTCTCATTGTTTAGCCATTGTTTATTTCTTTGATGTATATTTAACCGCATTTATATTCACAAACACACACAGGAATTGTGTGTGTATTTGCTTATCTCCAAGTCCCTGTCATGAGAATTTACCCCTTTGATATGAGACTGACTGATTGATTTAAGATAATTGAGCGATTATTAACTAACTGATCACTAGTGAATAATTGTATAATTATTAAAACTCTACCCAGAGGTCCGGAGACTCTGGGTGAATTAAATCTCTGGCGGTGCCCCACGAAATGAGATCTGTATGAATTAATATTCTCTGAATATTAAAATTCATAATTTGTATTAATCCTCATAAGTTTATTAAAATCATAAGTAGACATGCTACACGGAGTAATGTTAATTAGTTGTGTGTCATTACTACCTAACTTGTCGAGGAATGAGAACATCAGGTTCAAGCTTAACTGGTGTCTAGTTCACATACAGTAACTTATATCCTGATAGTTAAGTTATATTTCAGTTTTCAGAGGAGTCTGACAACTGATAGTTAAAGGAAGGACACTGGTAGGAGCTGAGGCTAGTAAAGTAAATCAGGGATGTAAATTAGTTCTTTTAAGCAATTGAGGAGACGTTTCTTTAGGATTTTAATGTGCAAATTAAATGCTTAGTAATTATCCAGAACTCACATAGAAAAAAGATGCATCAAAATGGATCACCGCCCTCTGATTTGTAATCAAATAGTCGTGAGGTGCTAAGAGATTCTCGTCCCTAGTGCACAAACAGTATTCCCATTCAATTACTTTCAAATGTCCATTAATAAGTTTAGTGAAGCGGTCGTCTCCAGTTGTCCACTGCATCTTTTAGAGCCTGTCCATAGGCTCGCCATTCATATGTGACAACATCTGAGCCTCTTCTTACATCATGTTGGCAACAGGTCTTCTCTTGAGCGATTTTTCACCACCCGGAGAAGGAGTTTCCTTGATGTAATTATGTTGTGTTTTTGTGCTAAACTGCAAAATGTTCAAAATTCATACAGATTCATTCAGTTCATAAAGAAGAAGAAACAATTAAAAGTTGTTTTCCTGCCCAAAATGTGTGTCACTTAAAGCAAAAATTACGTAAGTGATTATAACAATTGTTATAATGTCTTATGGACGCATTATATCGTGTTATAAATATAAGCATAAGTCATTATAGCAATGACCTTCATAGAAAAGTGTTACCAATATTTCTTGTAAATCTCAACTTAAACATTAATGTAATCAAATCAAATATAAAACCAAAGGTATTTGCCACTGCCAGGGCATTACCTTTTATCTAGCTTGTTAAAACAAGTTACCATCAGAGTCCAGTTTTCTTGGGTTTTTTTCTGAACAGGTATCAGCAGAAACATTTTTCTTTTACCAGGGAGCAGCATAAACAGTCTATGTTCAGTAGCAAGTGTCCCTGTTACAGAGAGGTGAAGTGGTCGAGCACAAGGTGTACCGGCAAGCGGCTGTGTTCCTGTGAAACTGTTGTCTTGAACTTTTTGTATGTGAAGTGCAGCACAAATTATTCGAAGAGACTGATCCTCATTGTTTGAGAGTTTCCAGAACCTATGATTGTTTATTAAATAGGACATCAACAGAGGGAAATCACATGGCAGAGCATCCCCGCAAAACTAGATGAAGGCCTATCAGGTGAAGTTATATAGCCTATGATTTTGAATGTAAAAGCAAAGGGCTCACTGCAGCCCCGGCTTATGAAGGACATCAAAACGTGGATGAACCTAAATTTCCTCAACCTAAACGTAGACAAGACAGAGATCATAGTGTTTGAACACCCTGAACTGCTTGATGTAGATTCTCTCGGCCCTTTGAGTTCAAATAACCGCTCAACTGTGAGGAGTCTTGGTGTTGTATTGGACAGTGCGTTTAAATTTGATAAACAGATATCCACCACTGTTAGATCCTGCTTTTTCCAGTTGAGAACTACAGTATAGCCAAAGTAAAGGTCTATCTCCCTCCTAAAGGTATAGAGAGGGTGATAAATGCCTTATAACTTCCCGCCTTGACTATTGCAACCCCTTATATGTGGGCTTAGACAAGTCATCTATTCAGCGCCTACAATTAGTCCAAAATACTGCTGCCTGCCTACTGACAGGAAAGAAGAAGAGGGACCACATCACACCTGTGTTGCGCTCCCTCCACTGGCTTCCTGTTCATTACAGGATTGATTTTAAAATCTTACTTTGAACTTTTAAATGCCTTAATGGATTGGCTCCATTATACTTAACGGAGCTTCTTCATACTCCAGCTAGAGTGCTGAGATCCGCCAATCTCCTCCTCCTGGATGGACCCAGAAGCAGACTTAAAACCAGAGGCGATCGAGCCTTTAGTGTAGCTGCCCCTAACCTGTGGAATAACCTGCCAGTCCAGATCAGAACCGCCCCAACTCTCCAACGTTTTAAATCACTGTTAAAAACGGATCTCTGTTCTTTGGCATTTCCTTCGAGTTAAGTCTGTTATCATTCCTGGCAATTTTAATATCACTATATATCGTATACTGTATATTATAATGTTTTATTGCTGTACTTTTACTGTGTAAGTAGTGTCTTGTTGTTGTATTTTAACCTGTGAAGCACCTTGGTCAACCTTGGTTGTTTTAAGTGTGCTACATAAATAAAATTGATATTGATATTTTAACTTAAATAGGCTACAGCTGTGTAGCACACAGACGCCATTGCCATGGTTACTCTCAATAGAGCGCTGGCCGTATACTCGCAGAGCAATGTCTTATTTACTTAATTACTGTGTTACTTCTCCCACACGCTGCAGTCTGCCGAAGCCTCGATCCTCCGCTGCTTGTTTTTGGTGGGTGATTTGTATGGAGGTCATTTTGTTTCAATTCAAATTGTGGGAACAGATGAGCGATCCACGTGTAAATGGGTAATCTGTAAATATAAAACATTTTCCACAAACACAAAATGTGTTCAATCAATCTCAGTTCTTTACACACTGAGTTTTGAAACAAACATTCCGCCGGTGGAAAGAAAATCTAATGGTTTTTAGTGGAAAGCTTAATTTTGACCTGAAAATAGGAAGTTTGGGGAATTGGGTGAGAAGTTGTGGATTTGTGTTTAGAGTTTTGAGAAAAAGAGGCATCATTTCAAGAAATGTGTTTAATTAATCAGGAAAAACATAATAAAACAACAATAAAACATACTAATTAGCCTATAACATGCAAAACATGTTGAACACCAACTCAGTATAATTGGCACATTTATACTTTTTTTATCATTATCTTAACTTTTGGCCTATATAATACTATATTGGAAACTAATTTAAAACTCAAATTAGCCTGAATTTTCATTTCTACTCTACTCATCACATTATATTTCCCAAAAATAACTAACAATGCTGATTGTTTTTTTTTTTGTCAGTTATGTTTTACCTCTTCAATTAAACTCAGCTCACCCTTGATGTGTATATGCTACTGTTTCTCTCGCAGTATACGAAATCAGGCAGAAAATGACAACATCACAAACCTGGCAGCTGGGGACTTTGTGTGGATCGGTTTGCACTGGGAACAACTGTGGTCTGATGGGAGCACCTTGCTGTTTCAATTTTGGGCCAGTGGGCAACCAGACAGCACAGAGCAGTGTGTCACCACATCATTCAGAAACTCAGGACTGTGGTCTGATGACAGCTGCTCCCTCACTTTCCCATTCATCTGTTACTCAACAAGTAATGCATCTTATTTACTCACGTACTGTGTAAAGATTCATTGTTGCATTAAGGCAAATATATCTCCTACATTTAAGATCAGTACCATACACCACACTGAATTTAGACTTGTGTAGAAGTCTGTTAAAGCAGAAACAAAAATGTTCTTTACGTCTGTTCTTCTGCATAGACTAAAAGCTGTTCAGAAGATACAGCAGATAAACCTGTGGGAAGTGATCATGTTGTAAACAGCACAGTATTTAAAAGTTAACATTCTTAATTTTACTGTTTAAACTGAGAAAGTATGCAGTAGATTAAAAATAATCAATCAACTGATTTACAAGTAGTGGTGGTGTTGCATCAAACAGCTGATGAATTTTCAGTGTGTCTGTGTGACTGTGTGAAACTAAAATGTATTATTTCTAACGTCCTGCTTCTCTACTTCAAATCAAGTCCTGTATTGGCCAACACATTAAACTCCTTTATTTCCCCATAGTAATACAACTTAAAGAATTTGTATTCTTGATTTATTGTTCATTACATGTGTCTTATGAAACACACTCTGTGATGTGGTTAGGTGTAAAATGTGACACAGCATTCTTGATTAGACAAATGTGGGTCTTAATTAATTATATCTCTCATGGCCACCATTAGGTTTTATTAACAATGCAAGACAAAATGGAGCAACCTGAACATTCAGATGGAGCATGAATAATTTTTCACGCAAAGTTGTTTGTGGATAAATTCATTCCCTTCTCTTCTTCTGTCTCAGCTCCTCCAAAAACAGAAGACTTCAGATCAATAGGACAAAATGAGTCCAGTATCACTCTGCAGTGGAACAAAGTGAACAACAACTTCAGCTTTATTCTCCAGTTTAATGATGCAGAGATCAACATCACTGCACCAGATGGAGATGGACCAGTAACTCACACAGTCTCATCTCTCACTGCTGCAACTGAATACACATTCACTCTCTTCTCTGTGTTTGAGAACGCCAGAAGCAGTGGAGTAAACATTACTGCAGTTACCGGTAATATATGTCACTTTATTTCTATGTTCTGTATCTGCTTAGCGAGCCATCATCTGCTTTTCAGAGAACCAGTTTAAAACTAAGACGTATCTACTGGGTATAATATTCATTAAAGGAATGTGCTACTTAACAACATGCACTTTATTGCATGTTAATTTAACTCAGCATTGTTTTGGCCAACACTGTAAAATATTTTTTACATTAAGAATAATTTCTTTTTAAAACTTTTGGTACATTGTAATTATTCATTTATCGTGGAGTACATCTCTGTTGGGATATAAAGTGTGATGGATATGACTACAGAATGTGACATCTGGATCCAGAAAAAAACATTCTTAGTAACACAAAGAATTGTTTCACTCGCTCTGTTCGTGATAATCAGTATTCATTTGTATTGATGTGGGGATACAAATGAAACATCTTTAATTGTCAATGGGAACATTTTCACTTTTATGTACAGTTAGTTATTATATGTTTCACTGCTCTTTTTGTCTCAGCTCCTTCAAAAACTGAAAACTTCAGATCAATAGGACGAGATGAGACCAGTATCACTCTGCAGTGGAACAAAGTGAACAACAACATCAGCTTTATTCTCCTGTTTAATGGTGCAGAGATTGACATCACTGCACCAGATGGAGATGGACCAGTAACTTACACAGTCTCATCTCTCACTGCTGGAACTACATACACATTCACTCTCTTCTCTGTGTTTGAGAACGCCAGAAGCAGTGGAGTGAGCATTACTGCAGCTACTGGTAAGATGTTTGACTTCATTAATGTGTATTTAACCGGGAATAGCATTTTCATCCTGCAACTTGGGAAGCAACAGGACAGTTAATAGTACTAACCAAATAGTATTTTTTTCCCTGTGTAGTGAAGGGCGAGAACTGTCTCCCTACCCGGATTCAAACACGGGTCTACAGGGCACTAAGGAGGATTTTTCCATATTTACTTAGAACAACTGAAAAGCAATTAAAAGAAACATTACTATAGCAAATGAAAACCCTCGATTTGGTTTGGCCCACTGATGTCATCCATCCATGAAGAGCGAAGTAGGAAATGAGGTGGGCATCAGAGTAGTTATGGCGAGATGAAGCTTTATGAAGCAGTGAAGCTGTCTATCCAGCTGGTTCACTCATGGTGCTTCATTTGCTCTATTGTGCCATCAAGTGGACAATAAATGTAAAACAGGAACAGTGATGAAAATGACACCATGGCTTTGGTGTGTGAAGTTTTAAATTGAATAAATTAATGAATGATGTTTGTGATGCCAATGTATAGGGAAATTAGGTTTGGTCAGCTCAAAATGTTCCCAAACAGAGGAAAATCTCCTCTTTCTTGCTCGTTCCATCGAGGGATGGGTATCGCTACTGGATACCTTTATGGTATTGACCGAAACAGCCCAGTATCGAGAAGAATCAAAACGGTTCTAGTCAAACCAATACGTCAATCGATACTTTTTGTGACCAGATCGTCGAAAAAAATTAAGATTTGTATGGCACCGAAAGAAAGAGAAGAGCACATCTTTTTTCCCCTTTGTGTGCCTGCACCATAAATAAAAAAGGCCTGCACGCGTCGAGTCGATGCATGTTTTTAACAGCCGCTCGCTTTCAGCTGCAGCATGTTCGTCGCTGTTGCAAGTTCATCACCACAAGCTTGGCTTTCCGTTGGTTTCATCTTCTGGTATCATTTAACACTTCTCACTTTCTGAAATTCACATCACTTGTCACTGATCAATCGCTACATTCCATTACAACAATTAAGCGCTTCAAGTGTAGTTGGTTTGATTGGCTGGACACGCAGCTTCTCTTTTCCTCTTATTGTGTCTTTAGAGTAGTTAAAGAGGTGGTATTCTGCTCATTTTCAGGTTCAAAGTCCTATTTAGGGGTTGTACCAGAACAGGTTTATATGGTTTAATTTTCAAAAAACACCATATTTTTCTCATATTGCACATTGCTGCAGCTCCTCTTTTCACCCTGTGTGTTGTATGCTCCGCTCTGGAGCTACAGAGTGATGCATCTTACTTGTACAAAATCTTTGTTGGGAGTTGCACATGCGCAGTTCCCAGGTAAGGACTACTAGCCAATCAGAAGCAGAGAAGAGCGGGTCGTAAGAAACAAGGTAGTGTGATCCAAATCAAAGCCGCTTCAGACTGAGACCGTAACCTAGTATAAGTTACTCAAGTCCACAACCACACAACATCATTGTTCGACATCTTACCATAAACCACTACAAAAATCATCATATTTCAAATCAATTTTACATAAAAATTGGCTGAACAATTTGAACGTTTGCTCAGTAGTTTTCACATCAGGTGTAACATTAGCATTATAGTTATAACTTTAGCTGTGTTAGCCAACGTTTACAACAACTCTGCACTTGGAACAATTTGAAGTTACATTGCCGTGTTTATTTTAAATATAATTCACAACCAATAAAGCATACTTACAGGTTGTGATTGTGAATTTCCAGGCCCAAACAGAGTCGGAGCTGCATCGTCTTTTAGCACTAAACGTTGAACTGTTGCAGGTGTTCTGATGATCTATGCTGCCTAGCCGAAAAATGCTACCATTACGCAAATCGATAGACTGGACTCTACTCGGCCTAAAACTGTCAATATTCGAAATCTACACAGCTGATTTCTCACCTCAAGACTTCTCAGAAGTGGATTTAGTGATGAAATTCCATACGTAAACTGTAAAATATATAACTTTCTGTTGCTGGCCTCTGTCTGCGACACGCAATGATGATGCAGTGAATTGTGACGATTCTCTCTGACCAATCAGCAGTCTGTCGTATTTTCACGTTACAGTTTAGTATCCCTTAACTCGCATGGAACCTCGAGAGAAGTAAGGTGATACGAAAAAAAGTACCTGGAAGCAGGTGCAACATTTCTACAATGGAAACCCAAACAAAGGCGAGTCGAGCCAAAGGGCCTCCGCTCAGACTAGCTTGGTTTGAGGGCGTGCCTGACCCCGTAGCCGCTTGGCAAGCTTTATGACGCGTTTTCATTGTGACGTCACAAGTAAAGGAAGTGAAGGGCTGGACTGCAAACAAGCAGTTTTCAAGCGGTTCAGAACAGAGTTTTCTGTAGGAGATGGGAACTCCCTTTGGGCTGGACTTTGGGCTTTTTCACTTTGCAAACCTGTTACATGCACAAAAAAGATATATAACTCAGTAAAGGAGAGGGAAAAAGCCAAAAAGCATATTACCACCTCTTTAAGTGACTTGTTTAAACAGGCACCTTACTTGTTTTATACTTGTGACTGTCGTTTTTGGAGAAGGTTTGCGACTCACTACTAAAGTTCAATTTATTTATCGAAAATTAACAAAATAATTTTCTGTTGTTTACTTTCAACACACGAACCAAAAAATTACCTTAAATTTGTTTCCCACAACTCATTTGGTCACTAAATCAATTCACTCCTCTCTCATTCAAATATACACTGAACAAAATTATAAACACAACACTTTTGTTTTTGCCCCCATTCATCATGAGCTGAACTCAAAGATCTAAGACTTTCTGGCCACAATAAGCGTTTATAATTTTGTTCAGTGTAAAAACAACTCCCAAGCTGAAGTCTTTCCCCTTATAGGCTAATACTACAGGATGGCCTAATTAGGATGAGGAGCGATCTGACACAATTTCCCAATACTTTTATGTAACAGTTATTTGAAACAAGAATAAATAAATTAGATCTCCTTGCTTGTCCATGACAACAATAAAAATAATAATAGGCTACCAATCAACTACTATGGCTTCAACAGGTGGCATTTTTATGCAAGGTGTCAAGTGAAGTACTCAATTGGTATCGGTATCACTTCGTATCTTGGTTCACTTCTGAACTTGGTATCGTAAAATTTTAAACAAGACCCAACCTTAGTTCAATCGCAAGAAAAAGAAGCTCGAATAGATCGCTAACAAACATGCAACAAAGTCCCAAGTCCACAAACTGTGAGGGGAGATCCATTGCATTTCGCTGCCCTTGATATTTATAATCGCTCCCCAAACCATTTCCTGAATCAGTCACGTGTTACGGCCGGCTCGCGAGGCTTCGATCGTCACCACATACTTCATGAACACAAGTTTCGATAAGCGCTTCACAAAAAGGATTACTCGACACACGCTTTGAAGCCCCTACACTAAGGAACACATCATTACACAAGAGGATTTGTGAATGAGAAAAGGAGGAAGTGTAGCATTTCAAGTGATTCCAGTCAAACTAAAAGAACAGATGACGTATTGTTTTTCACAAACGGAATTTCAAAGATCAACGGAAAGTTTGTGGGAGAAAAACTGACTGATGTGCGGCCGGTCAAGATAACAAGAAGTGAGATAGTTATCATTGAGTGCGTGTCAAGGTGGCAGCGAGATAAAGCTCTGAGGATTGATGAGTATAAAGACCACGTCCAATTCGGGTCGGAGATGAAAAAGAAGGGAGTAATAAGTCGCATGCCGCTATCAATGAAGGCCAAAAGACAATCTGCAAACAAGCAACAAATCTCAGTAGGCAGTCAGTAGTCTAATGTGCACATATCTGATTATCAATTAGCCACTTCTTAAGCTGACCAGTAAAAGAACGATAAGTATTTGCTTCTCTTATCAGTATTGGCAAAAGATTCCATTGTTTAGATGCTGTTACAGAGAACGCTAACTGACTAAAAGCACTTCTTTGAGTGGGAATGATACAGTCCCCTCTTGTGATACCTCTGGTAACAAGAGTGCTTGCTTTCTGCATAACAAATCTCTTCAGTGGAGGTGGGGCAGTGCTGTGCAATATCTTATAAAGTAGACAAAGGTTACTGTAATTGATCAAGTTTTCCCAACTCAGAAGCCTATGGGTATTTAGGTTTGATAGGTGTGAAACTGTTAGGTTTCGAATCTGAAATTTTGATGTTTGATGTTTATAAAGACTTTAGAGTGGCTTCATTGTGGATTTGTTAGCCTGTGCCCAGCTTGTCAAACAATATGTAAAATGCAGGTTAATCATGGCATTCAT